ACCTGTGGAAATAAATATTTACCTCTTATATTGATTTTAAAAGAATTTTTAACTCCATTAGATAGAAAAATAAATTGCTCTTATTTTCATTGTTTTACAATATAAGAAATATAAGATACAAATTTAAAAAATACTGGGATTAAATTAAAATGATTTCACTTTTTGTAAGTAGGTAAATACCTAAGTCTAGACAATTTATTATTATAATACTTATTATAAGACTTAGAGGATCAAAGAAGTAGTTATTTGATTTTAAAATTCATAATGTTCATAGATTAAGGTTGTAAATCTTATTAAAGTATTAGGAAATAAAAATAATTTAATTTTGACTACCAGCATTCTAAGAAAAGTGAGTTTCATTCTCATTAGAGAAAAGAATTATGAACATCACAGTAACAAAAGAATACATTTTTAATATTTTGTTTTATTTCCTTTACGTTGATTTTTATAATAAATGTCATTTATGGTTTTTTATAATACGTGCTATTAAATTTTTTAATTTAAAATTGTAGTGTTTCAACTAAATATTGTTGCAAATATGGCATTTGCAAATAGAATAAATTGTTATGTTTGTAATAGAAACTTTCAAGTTCGACTTACGACGCGTTTAAATGAAGACAATAATATAGATTTTCTAAATATGGCTACTTATAGAAGACAAGCTGCCGGATTTCCTGCTGTCGAAAATCTAGAAGAAGTAAGGTCATGTTTAAATTGTTTTCATGGAATTGCAGAGGACCTAAGACATATTGAAAACAATCCAAATTGCCATAGACTTAACGTTTTAACACCCCATTCAGTAAGTGGTTGCATAGTATGCAATGTGCAAGGTAATGTAAGAAAAATATCGGCAAAATGTAGAGCAAATATTTTTCTAGTATCTAATATTTATGTACCTGAACATTTGAAAATATGTGAAATTCATTTAGATCATTCAGGTATCCTAATGCTTAATTTACATGGTGGCTTGCCTTTTGTTAATAGGTCTTATATTCTAAATAATATTCAGTCATTTTTGTCCAGTTTAAGAACTGCTGCTAATTCAAATATTCATGTAACAAATTGGGAAGATATAGGTACTTTTAGTTTAGAGGAATTTAAATATTTAACGTCAATTTCTAAAGAAAATTTTCAAGAACTGTATGAGTTGTGTGAACCAATTGATCAATATGGTACCAGGCGAAATATTGGACAAAAAGATTTACTTGCTTTTCTTGTTAAGCTAAGGCATGGATTATCAGATGAATTTATAAAATTACTTTTTAATTGTTCTTCGAGACAAGTCACTAGTTTAATAATGTCTAATGTCCGTCTGTCTTTGCTGCAAAGATTTGTGCCTAACAATATTGAATTCAGATCAATAACCAGAGACAATTACATAATAAATAATATACCTCAATTTGTAAACAAGTTTTATAACCCTACACCAGATGATCCAAAGGCTATAATTTATGTAGACTGTACATATAACTCCATTGAAAGGAGCAGCAATTTTTGAATATTACGTCAGTCCTATTGCTCTTTTAAGAAGGAACATTTAGTTAAGCCAGAAATTATAGTAGCTCCTGATGGATACATTTTATCAGTCAACGGTCCCTATTTTTCTGATGCACGAAACAATGCGGCAATTTTACGGCACGATTTAGAGAATGACGTTAATGGAATGAGAAACTGGTTTGAAGAGGGAGATATAGTAATAGTAGATAGAGGCTACAGAGATGCCATTCCTACATTTGAAGAATTAGGTCTCATTTCTTATATGCCACCTTTGCTTCGTCGCAACCAACGTCAATTATCTACTAGTGAAGCTAATAGAGCAAGACTCATAACCAAAACGCGTTGGGTTGTAGAAGCTAGAAATGGACATTCTAAGTCTATTTTCAAGTTTTTTAATGGACGGATATCCACGAATCATGCTGCCAACTTACGTGACTTTTATCAAATTGCTGGTGCATTAATAAATAAGTATCATCCTCTAATAAATATACCAGGAACAGTTGAGATAGCAACTGAAATGTTAAATAAACCGGATGATGTAAATATTGTCCAAGCACGCGTTGAAGCCCAAAATCTAGCATTCAGAGATGGTCGCTGGAATAGGCTAAACCATATGCATGTTCCCGAATTTCCTCGGTTAGATATAGATGATCTAAAACACCTCGTTGGTCCCTACCATCTATATTTAAGTCCATCATATACAGGGTGTTAAAAAAAAAGTGTCACAAAATAAAACGGGGGTAGTATGGGCCAAAATATGCAGAAAAGTCTTAATAAACATATGTCCGCAAATAAATGGTTTCAGAGATACGGAGTGTTTTGTATCATTTTTTGATTATCTTTTTTATTCTCAAAAACTTGCTTTTCTTATCGGAGTCTACCGATGTTTTTTCATAGATACTATTTGCAGTTATTATTTTGTTGTGGGTGAATAATTTTATAAATTTTCGTTATGCCTGTTTACACTAATATTGAATTAGCTGACATGCATTTTATGTACGGTCGTGCAAATGGCAATGCGAGGGAAGCGCTACGTCAGTATATCGACGCTTTCCCTAATCGCCACATCCCTTCATTTAACTCTATGTTGTTATTGATTGTTAATAAATATCATTGTTTTTTTATAATAATAAAAAATTTTTATAAACACAAAATGGTCCGTATCTCCGAAACCGTTAATTTGCGGTCATATATTTATTAAGACTTTTCTGCTTATTTTGGGTCATACTATTCACCATTTCATTTTGTGACACTTTTTTTTAACACCCTGTATACAAGACAAATTACAAAGAGAGGAACTTAATGTTTTATAAATTGATGAGTTAAGAGAAGAACCTAATTTCTTACGTTTTAGAATCTACTCTAGATTTAGAAATGCCACTAAATATATGTTGTGGTTGGTATACGAGGAAACACTTAATCAAGACAATCCTCCAGTTTTTTATCATTACTGCACATGTCCATCCGGTACGAGAACTTTAAGTTCTTGCGCACATATTGCAACAATTTTATGGTTTTTTTGGATATGCTAGACACCACAATAATATTAAATTTCCACAAACACGTTTTCTTAATTGTGTAGACGATGCAGTGCACCGATTGCTACCAGAAAAAATCGATCTCGGTCCCATAATAGAAGATAATAATTAAACTGCAACGATCATTAAACATTCTACTTTTAATAATTTAATTAATGTACCTGTAATTTGGACTTCTCAATTTTAATACCTTAATTTACTCTTTATTTGGACACCTTCATTAATTTAATATATGCTTGTTATTGTCGCACATAATGACCTTATAAAGTACCTACAGTTTTTGTCCATAACTTCAACAATGGCAATGAACATAATATAATGATTCTACAAAACTATCAGTGGAATAGGCCTAAAGGGGATACCACTTAAAACAAAACGCGCCCATGGCTCTACCTCACGGGTGGTGTGGAAACGAGCTTAAAATCTGAAATATCGGTTCAATAAAAAACTAAAATATGTAAATGCTCTACAGTTTTCTAGTAAGTCCGTTCTGCATCTATCGTAATATTGAATGACCCTGTATGAGGTTTTGTGCATCATACGTAAAACCTCCAAAACCTAATTTAAAAACGATTTTAAAAAAAAAATAGCTAACCAATTTCTATTGTTTGGCAGCTTTTATTTTGATTTGTTCATTTTGACCTTTTACAAGCTCAAGTGAGATCACCCTGTAAGTATGATTCTTTTATTTTGTCTCCAAATAATGCAAAGGTACAATATAATCCAACACAGTGTGTAAAAATATTTACTTTACGGTATTTCTCTTATTTCGTGATTATTATTTATTACTAAAAATTGATATTTTATAGAAAAACGTTTAATTTTTTCGAAAACTAGCCATATGATCTAATTTTACCAATAAGAATTTTGAACGAGGACATCGAGATCTACACTATATCTAATATTGAGAAATATTGACGGTGATTTTTTTTAATGACATTTCATGCTATTTTTGTATTGTAAAAATACATACTTTTTCCAAAACAGGTCTGTGAAAGCATGAATCACCCTGTAAGTATCAGAATTTTAATTTTGCTTATTAGCTACGTATATTCTCTACATATATCAGTCAGTAACTTCCAAAAATATTTAAAAGGGGGTTTTTGGAGTCCATTTTAAAGAAGTCGGGATTTTCAACTTCAACGCCCTGAATGTCAAAATCTAGCCATAGGATAGGATTGGGTCTATGGAGACTTTTAATCAGGACATCAAGGACTATAACATATAAAAAATTCAGACAATTTGACGGTGCTCCCGTTTGCATAAGAAAAGTGCGGGGTCCTTTGTTAGAGTAGATCTATTTGCCATGAAACTATGCTGACAGTCCAATATTTTAATATTAAGTGCCTCGCAAGAGTGGATACATTTTATTGTAAAAAAAAATTCGAAAATTTTTATAATATTATTGGGGATAGAGATGGGACGATAATTTAGCAGATACTTAATAAAATTGGACAGATACGAGATATTTTCCATTTATTAGGAAAATTGCAAGTTTTTTAAGTACTTAATATTAAATAGATTGTTGAAGATATAAGTTTAATTTGTTAAATGAAGTTAGCACTTAGCCAACATAGATAACTTATATATGATTGCTTTTAAAAAATTTTAAAATATGTGATGTTGCAATAAACAAATAAATATGGCGTATTCAGAAGTACTAAAAGAAACCAGCCGAAATTTTTTTTTATTTCGACTAAAAGAATGTACATATTTGTTTTAAGAAATATTTTTTAGATAATTACGTATCAGAATAAAGTATCTTAAATAAGAGGACTAATTAATAGGAAAAGCTGAAATAATTTTCATATAAATGTCCCAGTTTTCATTATACAGCGTAACAAAATTAATTTTATAGACACATAATTTTTTAAATATCTTCCCTTACATCTACAAGTTTTCCAGTTTACGGTACTAATCTAAAAGAGCCTGTATATAATAAAATAAAAAATATTGATTGCTCACCTGCACGTAGACCACCATGTCTGATAGCTCTTTTGAAATTTGACTGCCTTTTTTCTTAAGTTTGTCATCAGGTGCAGCTCTTTTTTGTGAACTTGTTTTTGATACTGCATGCGGAACTCCATAAGGTCGAGGAGAGTCTGTGATGCTTAGTCCGTGCATAGGTTTTTCTATAACAACAAAAAGTGGTCTATTTATCTATTACCTGTATACAGGGTGTTTCATTAAACTAAATATTCTAACTGGAAGATTTTGAGCTCAAAACACGAAGAAGTAACCCAAATCACTTAGAAAAAATATTGCTTAATACTGATTGATAATAAAATAATGATGAAAATTGATTTTTAAATATTAAAATAAAACACCTTATAACTCAGTAAGGAACAATATTTTGTCTAAGGTATTTGGGATAAATCTTCATATTTTGAGCTCAAAATTTTCGAGTTAGAATATTTACATATATTTATTAAAAGTAGTTGCAGTTAAAACGTTATGATAATTATATGCCAAAGAATGTAGCAGAACACCTAAGGAATTTTGAGCTATTTAAAGGCTATTTTTATTCTCTACTTAAATTTTTTTTGCCAGCAGAGCACCTAGGTTTTTTGAAGGTCTTTTTCTAAAATTAACCATACTATATTTTTTGTCTATTTTTAGACTCTTAACATATGATAATACTTCCGAAAAAAATTATTCTTTTAAAAAATATGCGATGTTTTGCTAGCATCGAACGAAGTCACCAGATCACCTAGTTTACTCTAGTTTCTTTTTTTCTTAAAATAACTATGCTACATTTTAATATTATTAGACTCCTAAAATTTAAACATTTCCAAAAAAAATTCGACATTTTTAAAAAATACGTAGTGTTTAGCTAGCTTCAAACGAAGCCAGTCGAGTATATAAAGATTATTTCTTAAAACAACCACATCACAATTTTAGGCTATTTTTAGGCTCATATTATAAAACATTCCGACAAAATTATCCAATTTTTACTTTCCTATCTGTATACAGATATAAGGAAAGTATAGGAATCATGATTTTTTTCGACCTCGAGTTTTCGACGGATTTTTACGTTTTGAGGTCCCTGAATCCGTTTTGACTATTTTCGCGATGATGACTGTGTGTGTGTGTGTCTGCAGGTCGCATAACTCATAACAGAAAAACACCAAATTTTAAACTTAAGATTTATTCCGGCGTCTTATGAACTGATTAGATTTTGGGCAGAGTCGGAACATCTGGGGGGGGGTACTTTATGGGTGGTCATTTTTATATTTTATGGAATATATCTGTTATTTACGTTTGGAGAAGAAAATTCTTCAAATAAAAGTTACTTGTTATATAATTATCTATAATATTTGTTCTATAGAAAATTTTCCTAAAATGATCCGTATTGGAGAAATTTGACAAAATGTAAAAAAAATATTTTTTTATAAAAATTGTTTAAATAAAAGTTGTTTGTAATATAATTCTCTATAATTTTTATTCTATACATAATTTCTCTAAAATGGACCGTATTCGAGATATTTGAGAAAATCTGTAAATTTAAAATTTTGAAGAAAACTCAAAAACGGATAAAGAAAAAAACATTAAATTTTAAACTTAAGGTTTATTTCGGCCTGACGTGAAATGATTAGATTTTGGACAAAGTCGGAACATCTAGGGGGGTACTTTATGGGAGGCCGTTCTTATATTTTATGGAATATAATCTGTTATTTATGTTTGGAAAAGAAAATTGTTCAAATAAAAGTTACTTCTAATATTATCTATAATTTTAGTTCTATACAAAATTTTCCTAAAATGGTCCGTATTCGATAAATTTGACAAAATGTAAAAAAAAATATTTTTTTATAAAAATTGTTTAAATAAAAGTTGTTTGTAATATAATTCTCTAAATTTTTATTCTTTACATAATTTCTCTAAAATGGACTGTATTCGAGATATTTGAGAAAATGTGTAAATTTCGAATTTTGAAGAAAACTCAAAAACGGATAAAGAAAAAAACATTAAATTTTAAACTTAAGGTTTATTTCGGCCTGACGTAAAATGATTAGATTTTGGGCAAAGTCGGAACATCTAGGGGGGTACTTTATGGGAGGCCGTTTTTATATTTTATGGAATATATCTGTTATTTATGTTTGGAGAAGAAAATTGTTCAAATAAAAGTTACTTCTAATATTATTATCTAAATTTTTGTTTTATGTTGAAATTTCCTGAAATGGTCCGTATCCGAGAAATTTGACAAAATGTGCAAAATTCTGATTTTTATGAAAATTGTTGAACTAAAAGTTGTTTGCGATATCGATCTCTATAATTTTTGTTTACACATGATTTTTCTAAAATGGACCGTAATGGAAAAGTGCTAAATTTAAATTTTTCAGTATTTTCGTTTTCAATGAATATCTATAGAAAAATGTTTCGAGGTAGATGTATGTGGACAATGTATATATTTAGTTTATCCTCTAAACATTTATAGAGATGCTGCAATAGGTTGTACAAAATAACTGGAAAAAGCCTATAAAAACTAGATAGGAAAGTCATGTGTTTGACACATCAGATTTTTTTATTTATTTATCTCTCTAGAACTGCACATCAAATGACGTAAACGACTAATTGCACTTTGGTTGTGATTTACCTACCAAATGGAAAGTAACTGGATATTAATGAATTTTCAGGCAATACAATTTAAAGACGCGTACTATACTTTACCAAATACCTAAGAAATACTTCCTTATTTGACAGCCTACAACCTATTTTAAGTATTTCTAGTGTGCGTTTGCGATAAGTCTCAGATACAGGGTGTAATTAATAACATCGCAAAAACTAGTACATTTTGGGAACTAAACATGTACATAAGGAAATTCTCATATTTACCACATGTGGGTGCGAGTTATAGAAGAAGAATATTCCTCTTAATTAATAGTTTAATTTTTAGAAAAAGTTTTTAATGAGTCGAGCGTGGTGTTATTACAATAGTAGTTTGTGCCACAAGAGTGTATATGATGGCCATATCGCACGAAGACGAAATTTGAGCACGACCCCGTAGGCGGAGTGCTCAATCGTCTAAGTGCGATGTGGAAAATCTACTCGAGTTGTACAGAAGATTTTTTCTACGACCCACTACCGAAAATTTACAAATAAAAAAATATTTCAGGTCATTAAGACAAAATAACTAATTTTAAAATAATTTATGACTTTAATTAATTTTTAAAATAAAATAAACCAAAAAAATAGTTCATTTCATTTTTCCCCATTCTAGAATCGAACTGTAGTGTTCAGTGTGGAAGGCAACAACGCTACCACAGGACCACATATTCTTTTATTTTTGTTGCTTTAGTACTTAATATAGTTTTATTTAAATTTACAAATTATTTTGTTAGTTTAGCGGGATCTTAATATATTTTTTTATTGGATAAAACATACTAATTGTTCAACCGAAGAAAATCTAAAAAGTGGAAGTTATAACTGTTTTATCAAAAAAAAAAAAAAAAAAAAAACAATAAAATCTGGTAGAACTATTAGTATTATTTACTACAAAACATGTACAATTTTTTTGTTAATAAACATATATTTTTTATTCCTTATTCGTTTTCAGATACCTACCCTTAAATTTGACGCTTACCAAACATTTTAGGTTAACCTTTACCAAACGTTAAAGATTAACGATTTATTTTTGTGATATTCTCACGTTTGACAAACTTTTTGTTAACCTTACAGATAACATTAAACAAACATATTAGACAATAATAGGTATAATAATAACAACCAAAACATTTTCAGGTTTAAAATGAGCCTTCCACTGCAATCCAGGTGGATATAATATAGCTCATCATATTTAAATTATAATTCACTATACAAGCCACTCCTTCTGATAAAGATCTTTGCTTACAAAGTAAAAATTTGTTTCCTGCGCATGTCGTTACCTTTAACGCATCTGTATTTTTCTTTCAAGAAATGGGCCTTAATATTTAAATACTATATCCAATAAAAATCGATCAAAACAAATTTATCTAAAGCACACCATGTAAAAATCATTAAATTATTGTTTTAAAAGGCCGATTGAATTTATGACATGACTCGTATCTCTATCTTTGTCAGTCATAGCCTACTTTGGTAACATTTTTTGTGGCTCTGATCACTCTTTTATAAGTATAATTCAATTATTGCTTACCATCAATATTATCTTCGTCATCCTCATCATCGTAGTCGTCATCGCTGAAATCATCATTGAAAGAACTACTGCTGGTGTTACTGATAATCGAGCTGGTTCTTCCGGGTACCGAGTGACGCAATCCTCCACTACCTGGTCTTACGGGGGTCGACATGGAGGAGAAAGTCAATGGGGGAGGCACTTCCATTATTAATTTTTTATTTTTTATTAATATTCTATATTTCAATTGCTCCGGCGAAGGCAAACAAGGTTCATCACTGTAGTCTGATTCGAAAAGGAAGGACGTGACTAGTTTTTCTCCAAAAATTCTCTAAAATTTACAATGGTGTGATAAATTAAAAACAATGGTTTTTGAGAGACTGGTACAATATAATATGCTTCATCACAAAACATTAAAACAGATCGTGCTATACTAATTTGAAAATTGATACTGGGGGTAGAGTTGGGATAATTTTAAATGGCGAAGAAAGAAAGCCCTTTAAATCTCACAAAGATATATGTATTTTTCAAATTTAAGTTAGGTATGTTACTTCATTATCTGGCACACTTAATGGACAAAAATTATTTACTAATAATTACTAATCAATACTAAAAAAAGTTAAACAATTAATAACTAACATTACAGGTAAAGTTCTTTGAAAAATTGATAAAAATATTAATGAATTGGATAAAAAGTAGAACGTATACAGTGATAAAAGAAAATAAAAATATAATATAAAAATTTAAAACATTGGAAAAGTTGAAAAATGTACCATATAAATTCACCATATTCTCTTTTCACTACTGACTAGGTAAACCACAAATGTATAATATTAAATTAAGATGGAAGAAGTCAAAGAGAACATTATAATTATGTGGTATTATTGAGGTTCTCTATACCCACTTAAAAAATATACCTCTATGACAGTTGTATTTTTTCGAACACACTGCCTAAAATGTCACGTTTCACGCATGCAATGGTCGAGTGGAAAACACTGCCTATGTTTATAATGGGATAAACAATAACAACAGTAAGACCCGAAATATCCTCGAGATGACGGAATAAAATATTTTCTGCAGTTTAGGGTATTAGGTACGTTTCTATTATGTTAATAAAGCTATAATGCGTTATAAAACCCATAGGGGAGAGGTGGGCAAGTTGACATAGGTGGGCAAGATGACACAGTACCCCTTCCATATAAACTACAGCGCCATTAGATCATTTTATACGTTAGACGTGTCACGTACATAGCCAGTGTGAATTCAGACGTGTCGGAGGGTGAAAGTTTTTCACTATGTAAGAAATATTTACGATTTTTAGGAATTTAGTGATCTCATTTCAATGTAACTACTGTATTGTAATGAATATTTTTTTTTACCGTTTTTGTAATATTCTTTAATTTTGTTTAATAAATTAGGATTTCAGCTGCCTATTGAGCCAATCATTATTGTTTTATGTTTAATTCTAAATGCCTATTTGTCGATATTTATATGTGTATTCTTTGTCGGGTATGATGACATAGAGAGTATGTCATCTTGCCTGCACTGCAAAATTTGTGGGTCTAAGCTATGTTTTTGACATTTGAGCTAGCAGAAAAAATGAATATAAACCATCAATTTAATAAGGAAAAAATGATAGCAGGCAAGACATGGTTACGTTCGTTTCATTCTCGCAATAAAAATATATCATTACGTCGCCCAAAAGCCACATAAATGGCAAGGGCAGAAGCTTTTAATAAACCCCAGGTAGAAAAATATTTTTGGAATCTAGAACATACCACTAACAAGGAAAATATTGACTCTTCTATGATTTTTAATATGGACGAATCTGCAATAACTACAGTGCAGAAACCACCAAGAATTTTTGCAAGTTGGTTCAATTAGTAATGGAGAAAGGGGTGTTCATTCTTCCGTAGTAGTTTGCATGAGTTCAGCTGGAAGTTATATTCCACCTGCAAACATTTTTCCTAGGAAAAATATAACCCAACCTTATATGATGGCGCCCCTGTTGGGACTTTGCCGTTATACAATGAATCTGGATACATCACTGGGGAATTATTTATGAAATGGATGCAGCATTTTATTGCTCATGTTAGACCAACACCCGAAAATAAAGCTTTGCTAATAGTAGATGGACATGTTAGCCATAAAAACGTAGAAGACTTAGACCTAGCGAAACAAAACTCAGTAGTACTGTTTTGCTTGCCATGTCCCACAGTAGGCACAGACTGCAACCATTAGTCGTTTGTTTTTCGGGCCTTTAAGCAAATATTACGACGCAGCCGTAACTCAGTGGTTAAAAATTCACCCAAGTCGTCCTATTACATTATATCAAGTTGCTTCCCTTTTTTTGCTGAAGCTTATGGTAAATCAGCAACTAATGCGTTATGTTTGAGTACCTCTAAAGCCACTGGAATATCGCCATTTATTGCAAATGCATTTCCGGAACACATGTTTTTACCAAATACAGTAACAGATGTACTTCAAGATATGGATGCAGCTACAACCACAGATATAGAAGAACCTCATTCATCCACAATAGTTATTTTAGAACCAGCACTACCAGAAGAAAAGTCTGCAGCAGAAATGTTATTAAATATATCGCCTCTACCACATGGAAATACAAGAAAATGCACGACACGCAAAAAAAATTTCTACCAGGACATTTTAACAGCAAGTCCATATTTGGAAAGTCTACGTGAAAAAGAGATAAACAAAAAAGCCGAAGAATTAAGGAAAAGTAAAAGAAAGACTGTGACAAAAAAGTGTTTGACGACTCAGAGTCTGAGGAACCTTTTAATACCAAGGACGACGATGACAGTGACTGTCCGTGAACTATACAGTCATTCAAAATCCCATGAAGGTTGGTTGTGTTGTCAAGAGTGTCATAGATGGGCGCACGCTAAGTGTGCTGGCCTTTCTAATTCATTTTTGACTTATGTGTTAATTATTATTATTATTTGTAATTAAAATTATTTTTTCTACACCCATATTATAATAATGCACTTATATGCCCATAATCCGTTTCATAATGATACCCATTATGATACAGATTTTTCATTACGATACAGATTTTTAATCAATAGAAACCTACAATTTTTCAATCAAGCATGCTGTTTGACGTTTGTCCTAGGTTCCTATGTAATTATTTTAGTTGTCAAAACGTATTAAATTTTCGTAGGTAGCTAAACTTCGATAATTATAATATTAAAATGTCTGATATTAGCGATATAGAAGACTCCTCCACACATATCGGAGAAAGCAGAAAATACAGTACAAAATATTTTACCGCAAAAATCTAGGGAAATACCAATACCTGAAGTAATACCATTAATTACAATTTTGTAGAATTTTTTATAGAAATACGAGTAATTACTGTTATTGTGTTCAATACCAATATAAATATAATATTTATAGGTCTTGATTATTTATCGGGTGTAGAAAAAATAGCGTATGCAACTCTCATGTAATGGTTATTACATGATCGTTGCATAATATACTATTATATTTCTTTCGTATGTCATATTACCCTACGGTGTAAGGCAAGATGGTTTTTTGACATAATTTTGTTGAAAATTTTTTTATGTTATACCAGTTTATGTTATGTCCAATTACGTATGAAAGTTAACTACCTACACTATTTACATCATTTTACTAATTTTTTTTTAAATAAATCTTGTTTTTTTCTGAGATAATTCTATTTATCCAATGGGTATGTCAACTTGCCCATCTCTCCCCTACATTTTGAAATTATTGTTTAAATAAAAGATGAGACAGATCATATAAAAAAAACAGAAAATTAGGGAAAGAGATTTTCATGCAAAAGAAAACAGAAAGTTCTAAGAAAAAATAAAGACAATTCTTTAGAATTTTTCACGAAAAGCTATTTCAAAAATACAGTGTAATTGTGATTAATAATAATTTAACTAATCTTCTCTTTAAAAATTTCACGAAAAGGTATTTCAAGATTACAGGGTAATATAAATAATATTTTAAGCGAGCTCCTTACTTGAAATATATGAGCCATTCGTGTTTGCTGTTGCAAAGAACAATGATTCTCTATCGATAAAATCACAGGATACGGCGACAAAATAAAGGCATTCTTATCAATGGTCTCTACGACGGCGCTAAAGGGTATCTTCGTAGTAAATGTGTGTCCATGATATATCATGGGATATCCATCATCCCCGTCCCAACAGTCTAGCTCGACACATCTGCAGCCAGTCAGTAAAACCTGAAAATACGTAATTTTAGGTTGTATAAATAATGCAGTTGTAAATAACAGCAGAAAGGTGTGAATTAATTGAGGAGGGAACACGTTTTAAATGTAAAATACCCTTCGGTCAGAATATGACGAAATTTTGATATGTTTGATTTACAGATGGTGTCCAAAATCACTATTTCATAGTTTCACATTATTATAAAATGCATGTTTTTGTTAATATTAGGACAAAAATAAGTGAAATCTTTTTTTACGTAGAACTAACTATAATTCTCTATCTGCTTTCAACATGTATGTACATACAACTGATATACAGGGTGAGACCATATATATCTTTATAAGTGTATAGAGAATGTAAAGGTTCGGTATGACTTCATGTACTATAGGATTGCCTATTTTCAGGAATTATATGTTAAACTAATGTGTACACTGTACATTGCTGTTTCTAAAATAGCGGTGCGAAACAGTAACAATATCTACCCAACATACCTAAAGATAGAATACAATTAGTTTTGCTTAAACGGTTTGACAAAGATAGCTGAAAATTTTGAATTTTAAAATTTTGAAAATTTTGAATCAGGTTATGAAAATATGTTCGCCACACAAGAATGTGTATTTTGTCTAAAACAAATTGGTTGATAATTTAGCTAGCGATTTAAGTACGGAACTATAAAGTAAAAACCCACCTGACTATATAATTCTACAGACGATTCTCCTTTCAGTTGGTGTCCTGTCAGGTAAGTGTTATGTGACGAGGATATGTAGTAAGTAGACAGTGGCCGCGTCATATCACTCTCAATAGGAACTTCTCTTTCTGAAACGAAGGCAAAGTTATCCTTGTCCATGAGATACCTTGCAAATCCCTCAAACGAAAGGCAGTTCTGTGCTCTTAAGGTAGCGTCAGGTTCATGCCTCTACAAAACGAAGTAAAGTCAAAAAAGCATTTAAAAGTAATGATTTATTATACATTTATTTAAAAAAAAAGTAGAATTAAAATAAAACAGAAATCATTAATAAAGGGTAGGTATACATTGCGGATTTGTCTACAGTTCAAGAGCTGGATCTTTTCTTATGCGTCATTAATATTATATCAGAGATGTATTGCAAATTTCTATAACGTCAGCCACTAATTGTGCCAAAGTAATAATTAGAGACAAATAAATTCCATGCTTAATTAAATTAAGTTTTAACATTAGTGTCCTTGTCGTTTATACATATTCCTAATATAATTTTAAAAACTTTATTATCTTTTAACATCTTTGCTGTTGTCTATAATAGTATATAATATAGAAGAGGCATTGGAAATGGCTATTTTAGGAGATTTAGATGATGATGATGATGATATTGAATATTTAATATTAGAAAACTTCACACTGGTACGAATGTTAACGAGCGCAGTCGAAAGCTAATAAAGTCGTCGTTCTTTGCTGCCGCTAAAGATCCACAAATAAGAATAGGCACTATCTTTAATAAAGTTAGTTCACTAACTTAAAAGATCTGAGCATGCTCAGATGTGAAAATAAGAGCTACGTTAAGAGTGTCTGACCTTATGTGTGTTAAATATGAAGGAGAACAAATCTTATGAGTGACGTAAAAATAAAACATTTATTGACAAAGTATGTAAAGAATGAACACTGGATTACATACAGGCTTATGAACAACACACCCGCTTAAGACAGTGGCTCAGTCTCTGTAGTCATACCAAGTCTCTCTTGCAATTTTCGATTTTGATTCTGCTTTGGGACTTTGTAAAAATATCAGCAACCATTTTATCTGTAGGCATATACTGTATTTGAACTTCTCCTTCAGAAACAACTTTTCGGATATAATGATGTAAAATATGAATATGTTTAGTCCGTGAGTTATTTACCAATTTAATAGCATTTTGACTACCACAGTAAATAATGGTGGATTAATTTACTTTATATAGTTCTGTTAGAACCCGTCGAAGGAATAAGGTTTCTTTTAATCCATCTAATAACGCAACATACTCTGCTTGAGTACTAGGTAGCAACAGAAGACTGCTTTTTGCTTCCCCAAGATATCGAGCTACCAGCAAACATGAACCAGGGGCGGCTCGTGACCAAAATTTTGGGAGTTCACAGTAACAAAATATAGATCCTGGTACAGATATAGGTAAAAAACTGTCAGTGTTTTAGAAAGGTATATTATAAACTTTCTAAAACACTGAAAGTTTTTTCATACATCTGTACAGATACCTATATTCTGTCACTGTGAACCACCCCACGAGCCGCCACTGACATGAACACGTAACCATTTAAAGATTTCCTATCTTCGATGTCAGACCCGCAATCTGCATCTATAAAGCAGCCTGTAAGAACACAACCACTAGATGTGTAAACTATAATATGGAAAACACCTGCATCAAGGCTCTGCTCCAGAAACACAAATTGGAATCGGTTTCATGATAAAATGAATGAAAAAATATCTCTAGACATACGACTCAAAGACAAAAATGACATTTAAGAAGCTGTAAAATACTTAACAGAACAAATTCAAAGCGCCGCTTGGGAAGCTACTCCTGTAAATGAAAAAATAATTGAAGAAAGATGCAGTATACCTTGCCACAACTTACCACATTAGAACACTAGTGGAAGATAGAAAAAGAGCCCGTCGTAAATGGCAAACTTCAAGAAATCCATTAGATAAAACAAATCTAAACAGCCTCACACGCAGACTTCGCTGTGCTATCTAAACTACCAAAAACGAATTGTTTGAAACATATGTTACCAACCTATCCCTTGACGACCACTCCCTTTGGAAAGCCACAAAGAAGCCAAGGTATCGTCCTAATAACTATCATTTTCAATAGCGTCCTTAGGCTATGCTATTTTTCAGTGCAACAGAAGTACGCACAAATTATAATGATACCTAAACCTGGTGAATCTCCAACTGAAGCTAGTTCGTACCGACCAGTAAGTCTCCTTCCGACTTTATCAAAAGTCTTTAAAAGGCTTATTCTCAACAGAATAGAAAGAACAATACCTCTAGAAAATCTGATACCAGATCACCAGTTTGGATTTCGCTCAAGTCACTCAACCATACAACAGTGCCACAGGTTAGTCAACAGAATAAAGGAGAGCTTAGAAGAAAAACGAATCTGTACATCAGCATTTCTTGATATACAGCAAGCATTCGATTAAATGTGGCATTAGGGTCTCCTCGTTAAAATCAAAACCCATCTACCCGACCAATCATACCTCCTCCTGAAATCACATTTATCTGACAGATACTTCTAAGTTAAATATAAAGAAACTTTATCCAACTACCAACAAATCCTGTCAAGTTAATTTCATAAATCGAAGAATTAGATGTCCAGAACTTTACTATACTTAAATAATACGCCTATACCAATAAATACAGAAGTAAAATACCTTGGACTTCATTGAGACGAAAAACTTACTTGAAAATCACATATTAAAGCTAAACGACGACACCTCGACCTAAAAGTTAAAAATATGAGCTGGTTAATCAACAAAAGATCGAAACTTTTATTAGAAAACAAAATGGTCATCTACAAAGCAATACTCAAACCACTCTGGACATACGGAAACGAGCTGTGGGGCTGCAGAAAAACATCTAACACTAAAATACTACAGACGTTCCAGTCCAAGAGTATTCGAATGTTAGCTAACGCCCCATGGTACGTTTCCAAGTAAACCCTTCATGCAGACCTCAACATTCCATTCATAGATGATGTTATTATCCACCACTCCAGAAAATATATGAATCGCAGTGAAAACCATCCAAACCACCTTATAGTCGAACTCTTTAATCCTCCACTCATCGATAGACGCTTAAAAATACTTTGGACGGAAGACCTAGCTGCTAGGTGAATTCCAGAGAGTCGTCAGTGGACGACACCTGCCTCAAGCCACCCACTTCCATCAAATTTACTTATTACTTTATTGAAGTAGATTGTAAGTTAGCATTGAATAAAATTATAATAAAAAAAATGTACCAAAGACGATTTTAGGATTAGATTGCTACGGAAGAAAAGGTCGCATTTTGTTTTCCCAAATGTCGACTATATTAGAATAGTTACTCGACAAACATATTGCAAAAGTGTTACCAACTCCAACCATTAGACGAGCGATGCATTATTTTAATGTCACATTTCCAACAGATCTAGTTCTAAAATAAATTACGATAAATAAGTTTAATGATTAATGGTTTATTTTTCCAATTTACAAATTTATTACTACAGGGCCACTACGTCCCAAGGTAAACCAGCACTGTCCCAAGGAGGAACGGGTGGTTGTACCTCGAGACGGATGTTAGTACTGGATAAGACCACTTTGAGACTTGCATATATTGAAAAATATATGTATTGTTGGTAACCAAAAGCTACCTAATATTGCAATGTATGCTTGGACAAAAAATTAACTCCTTTACGTTACGCATGTCTTTGAAAAACAATTACAAGTAAAAAAGTGTCCAGAGGTGTAACCTTTTCCCTTATTGTTTAATTTATTCGCAGATTTGTTTAAAGTCGCACATAAGGTTATCAAGTACAAGGTTAATTATTTAATAATAATAATAACAGAAGTAAAGAAGCAGTAAACTATTAAGTAAAATAAAAAAAGTGATCTGGGAGATACATAGGGTATAATTCTCTATGTAAGATACTCTTCTGACAGAAAATTCCCAGTAGCGACTCCAGATCGCGAAGACTCCAACTAAAAGATGTGGATCGCGAAAGGTTTAATCGCGTTTTAAACGTATAAGTCCAGGTTATTTGATACGTATGAGCAATATTGGAGTATTGAGCCCACATTTCTGTTTGTCAGGTTGTGACCTATTTTATACAACTGTTAAAATACAAAATATATTTGTTTTGAAAAAACTTTGTTACAAATTATCAAATACTCACATAAATTAAAGCTTTCACTTGTTCCTCGGACCACACTTCCATTTGCCTGGTCTCCAAAAATTTCGTGAACGTAGACAATGTTATAACTTGCGAATTATTCGTATCAATTCCTGCACAATTTGTAAAAATACTAGCAGCGGCGATTGCATCAAAAATTTTCTTCTGCGAGTTGATAACGACGCCATCGAGTTCTGCTTTACTGTTTCGAGTTAATAAACCTAGAAAGACTAGGCTAATTAGGAATGTAAAGTCTTTAAGAATAATTAAAGATTTTTGTAATTAGGATGTTTAAGAATTTTCGTTAAAAGTAAAAATAGTGAAAATTAAATATTAATCATATTTAAAATCTTTAATTTGCGCATGGGTAAATTCTTAAAGATAATAACGTCATTATAATAAATTTCCAATAGAGTTGGGCGTTATTTACTGAACTGTTAATTAAAAAACAAAAATTAAAAACATAGGGTTATAAAATATGTAATATGAAGATTTCACATTAATAGTAGAAAATAAGTGTGATCTATAATATCTTCTACCTTGGTCCATATTGACAGAAGAGGTAAGAAAGAGTTGCATAAAAGCGTTAAATATATCTGAACGACATAAACAAGATTTATAAAGATAAGAATTAGCCCAAATAAAGAATAACTTAAAATTTTGTTTTTAAAAACCTCTGAATAAAAAGAGAAAAAAAAAATGTAAAACCAATTGCAGCATATGAGCTAGAAACATGAATATTAAATAAAACAGAACACATAATATTAGAAGTATGGAAAAGAAAGGTGCTTATGAAGATATTTGAATACACAAAAACAGAAAAAAAGATGGTTAACTAAACCAAGTAAAAACATAAAAGACTATAAATAAATCAATACAATAGCGAACACAAAAATAAGTTGGAACGCAACTTAACTACTAATTTTATTAGCTTTGCTATTGACAGCACGTAAGTCAAAGACATTACAACTAAGAGACCAAATTGTTTACATTTTTATGTGGCAAATCTTGCGCCTTTGCCGGTTTTATCAGTCTGTACAAATTATTTGGAGAAATTACTTTCGAAAAATAAAATTTAATGTATCCTATAACTATAATTTTATATTATATAAATAAAAATATATTTTTAATCAAATTATTCTTTAAAGTTTTAATATGAGCTAATTTTTTTATTAAAAATCGATATTAATCTAAATAAAATATTAAGGTTGCAAAGAACGCCGTAAATACGGCAACGCTGAATATCTAATTTTACGAATTTACAACTAGTACCTATTTTTACAAATGAAATATAGTTTCCGTAACCAACCGCAACGTTGCCAATCGAGTCTAACAGCTATTTTGTGTTTCTGACAGTTTCTGTGTGACTTATTGATTTATTAATTTATAAAGTAGTATTTTTGTGAACTTTTGTGAGAAATATAAAGAATTATGGTGCATGCTTGTGTAGTGTTCAATAAGGTAGATCATTTAAATCGAAATTTATCCTTTCATCGGTATTTTTAGGTTAAGATATGTTGTTTTCACTTGAACCAGTGGAGTAGGGCACCCGTCTTAAGACTGTTTTGACTATACAATTTCTTGTACAAGATTTGATACAATTTCTTATAAAATTTAAATTGTATAGGATCACATAGTAAATTATTTGAAAAATGACTATCCAGTTAACCAATTAGTAAATTATTCTTATACCAATAAATAATTATTGAATAGTGGCAAATAAAATTTAACGTAAAATGTAGAATACCTTAAAAATGATTTACTTATTAGGCACCTATACATATTTTTTTATATTCTATTTAGGTTTCCGCAAGATCCTGAGAAAAGAAAACTTTGGTTTTCTCTAGTAGGGATCCTTGAAAACCAGCCCCAGAAAAGATTCAAACCCCAGACGATGTGAGGGCTTTCTATTTTTGGATGACTTATCCAACAGGTAAAAATTCAAAATATAAAATTTGTTTACCTCTAAACATTATTTATTACCCATATGTATGTATATCTATTGTATGGGTTTTTAGTTCTGATTCAACTGTTTTTGGAACACCACCTGCTGCAAAAAACATTGCAGTAAGTAATAACACTAATAACTAAGCATAAAAAAATTAAATGAAATTTTAGTTAATAAAATTAAGGTTATTTTTAAAATTTTTACAGTTTTTTTACGATATTTTTTGCCATACCATGTTTTTTTGTAATTATTAATTAAAAAATTATATATTTTTAGAACAGTGTTTTATTTAGATATCCCTACCTACTTAATGTTAATTTAAAATTTTAAATAATTTTAGTTAACATCATACCGTGCAAATATATAGTAAATGCCAATAAACTCTAAACCAATAAATATTAAAAATCGGAAGGTAACTTGAATTCTCTTGTATTTGAATTTACTTATACTTGAATTTACCTACATGAAAAAAATCATCATAATTATATTACTAAAAAAATATATCTACTTATTTACGTATTTTTTTAACACATTACTCTGACAATACTGGTAAGTTTAAAACTCTACGCCGCTGGCGAGCATATTATGGACACTGTTTACAACATTGCCAGCCGGTCTTAAGAGATCTGTCTTTCTCTCTTTCACTCACTAACAATTTTAAAACAATTACAGTCCGTAATTGTATGGGATTTAGGAATGAAACATTTTGTCTCTATGTTGTAATGTTTTGACGTAAGTGTAATATTATTGACACCCTCTTTTTATAAATAAACTAGTCAACATAAAATATTTATCGCTTACATAATTGTAAATAACTTTTTATTGAATAACATATCTACTTTAAAATTTGACTGTATGTTAATGAGATGCCTAAAATCAAAAGCAATTGGTTAAAAAAATTTATTCATAATACCAACAAAAAAAAAACATACTGGAAATGTTATTGCTAGACAAAAAATAGAAAACACATTATTCGGTAAAAATTCAAAGTTAGTAATGTGTGTTGCCTCCTTTGGCCTGCATAAGTTCAGTACAACGTTTTGGCATCGATTGAATCAGATTGCGTATTTGATATATTGGGGTATGTCGTCCAATGCTTGTTGAGTCCATTCGGCTAATTCATCCAGGTCATTTGGAGGTTCTTGCTGCCTTAATCGTCGTTTGAGTATGTTCCATAGGTGTATTATTGGATTCATATCCAGACTATTTGCAGGTCCAAAAATCAAGATGTTGTTCTTCAAAAAAATGTTAAACGATTCTTGCAGTATGTGGCCTTGCATTGTCTTGTTGAAAAATAAAATGATGACAGTGTTGTTGGGCAAAAGGGATGACAATAGGTTGGATAATTTCATCAATGTAGAGCCTACCTGTTCGAGTTCCAATACGTAAAGCATGTAAATGTGTACAGATCAAACTGTTACCTAACCACCTCTAAAAGCCCTTTTTTCCTCACAGCGGAGTCAATAAATCATTTCCTATTACATACATCGAATCTTTGGCATAATTTGATCTTAAACAAAATCGGGACTTATCCAAAAAGTGAACATGCGCCCCATATCCCAGTCGGAGTGTCCTTGGGTAAAATGTCTTCGCGCTCTGCGGTAAACCGGACTTAGTTCAGCGGCAGTATATGTAAATTTCTTATGTAAGAAGCTGTTAGAAACCTCTGTTGGAGGGATAATCTCGCCAAATGTCGGTAGTAACCCGTTGGCGAGTAGTGTACGGTCTTCGACGACTAGTACCAATTTTCCTGACTCTATTCAACAGATGATGAATAGCTGGTTGGCTTATCTGAAGAAGTTGAGCCACGTACCTATGAGAACGATACTTTTAAAGCAGCGTGATAGTATCAGAAACCACGAGTAAGAAATATTCTGTGCTAACATTCGTATTTACTGTTATGTGAGCCATTTCATTATTCAGTTATGCTCTAACCCTACAAGTCCCTCTCTGTCTTATTTCGGCTTTGAGGCTCAACTTGTCCGATTATTATACATAATTAAACCCCTTAAGACCAAACCTATGGGACGACTATGGCCGAGGTGATTTCGATGACTATTCTAGAAAGGACGAGATATTTCTGGTCTGTTCCAAATATTTCTAGTTTGGTGGAGGAGCTTCTAGACTCCACCAAACTTTAGAAATTTGTATATAAATATTGGTGGAAGAACAGAGTACAGTTAGTTATTATATGGACAGTGAAGATAAATAGTAATTAGTAGATAGATAGTGGTGAATATAAATAGTGATCAGTTTAAAGACATTCGAAGTATATATAAATTAGAATAGTTGTGTTATAAAATAAATAAGTGTTTAGATAAATTATTATTAAATAAAATGTTGTTTTAAAATAAATAAGCATCACATTGGTGTCAAGAAGTGGAATAGTGTAAATAAATAGTGGACAATAATGGATAAAAGACTGTGTGATTTAAAAGTGACCGAGCTACGTCGGGAGTTAGAAGATCGCGAGTTGGAGACGACAGGGAAGAAAGCAGAACTGGCAGAACGTCTTAAGGAAGCACTGGAAAGTGAAGGTTTGGATCCGGAAATGTATCTATTTTCCGATGATGCGTCTTCTATAATTTCTTCTTTGGAAAATAAAATGTCTTCCATGAAAATCGATATTTCTTCTGACATTTCTTCTTTAGATAATAAAGTTTCTTCCATGGAAAATAAAGTTTCTTCAGATGTTTCCTCCATAAAAAATGACATTTCCTCATTAAAAACTAAAGTTTCTTCAGACATTACTTCCTTAGAAAGTAAAGTTTCATCCGATATTTCTTCCCTAGAAGAAAAGGTATCTTCTGATATGTCTTTCGTAAAAAACGAAATCTCTTCTTTAGAAACTAAAATCTCTTCTGATATCTCTTTGTTAAAAGATGAAATTTCTTCCGATTTGAAAAACAAAATATCTTCTATGGAAAATAAATTTTTGTCTAATATTTCTTCTTTAGAAGAAAAGGTGTCTTTCGAAATGTCTTCTTTAAAAAATGAAATTTCTGCTGATGTGGAAAATAAGATGACTTCCGTCGAGGAGAAAATAAAAGAAATGGAAAAGAAGATAGAAGAACTAGAACATTCAGACCCGGCCAAGGACGTTGAAATTAGGTGCCATGAGGTGGAGTTGAAGTTGAAATTGGAAGGAGCTGTAAACTCTCCTCGTGTTAAAGCCCCAACTTTCGAAGGAAAATGTCTTGGACGAACTACCTTAAGCAGTTCGAAACAGCTGCCAAAGCAAACGAGTGGTCTGAACGAGAGAAGGCCATAAAT